GGACCATAAGATCATCTAGTTCCAACCCCCCTGCCATAGGCAGGGACACCTCACACTAAACCATCTCACCCAAGGCTTAGTCCAACCTGGTCTTGAGCACCATCAGGGATGGAGCATTCACAACCTCCCTGGGCAACCCATTCCAGTGCCTCACCACCCTAACAGGAAAATATTTCCTCCTTATATCCAATCTAAACTTCCCCTGTTTAAGTTTTAACCCATTACCCCTTGTCCTGTCACTACAGTCCCAATGAAGAGTCCCTCCCCAGCATCCCTATAAGCATGGGCAGTGCTGATGATCTAAGGCTTGGCCTTGTATCCCCAGCAAATTCCCAGCTCCCTCCTTGACCCCTCCTCCTGAGCCAGGAGGACCAGCCCGTCATGTGTGTCCCTTCAACCTCAGTGTCAGGAGCTCAGAATAGCCCTGCTCTCACAAGACTCCTGCCCAGGGTCATGCCTGTTTGTGGAGGTGATCCGTTTCCACTAATAGCGCTCAAAGACATTCCTTGGCGGGTAGGTTGCCTTCTATATCTCAGCACAACGTGCTGCCATGCAGGAGCTGGACAACTGTGGTGTGTCCTAAGATGGCAGATGCTATTCTTACCGCAGAGAGACTTGCTCCGGCACAGCTCCTTCCTCAGCTGAAAGGTTAAAAACATGCTGTCCCATGGGGAACACAGAAGCTGCCCAGGTACTTTCAGTAGTCAGCTCACTTTGGGGGCATCCTTCTCTTGCAAACAAAAAAGTAAATAGGTGGGCTGAGCTGTAGCTCTGAATGTGCAGAACTTTACAGCTGCCTTCCTTTGAGTCCCTGTCTGGGTGAGGATGAAGATGTTTGTGCTGTACACCAGAGATCCCTCAAGGGCCACTGCAGTATCAGGGCTGCAGAAGCAGCCCTGGCCAGACCGGTGGCTGTCACAGGGAGACCCAGCTCTGCCTGCAGCCTGGCTCCACAAGCCCTTGGGAGAGCTCGGTAGAGCTGGAGTCACTGCCTGGTTCGGTCACCACAAGCAATCAGGCTGAGCAAATGGAGGTCCAGAGACATCAGCTGGGCCAGAGGCTGTGCCTTTCGCCTCAGCACTTGGACTGTGGTTCAGAGGACACGGGCCCCTGCAGCTTTATTCTCAGCTTGGTCTTGTCACCTGACACTGAAGGGACAGACAAGTACTTTTAGGGATCCTTGGCAGAAACACGGTGGCTTCATTCCCACAGGGCACCGGTGGCAGGGCTGCAGCAGCTCCTATCAGTCCCACGGAGCTCAGCCGGGCCCGAGGCCCCATTGCCAGGGGGTGGCACCATGGAGCCGCCGAGGTGGAGCCTCCAATGGGCGCCTGGTCGCTGCAGACCAGCAGTCCCAGCAGCCGGGTTAAACCGCAGCCTGCAGGGTCAGTCAGTCTCATGTGTTCTCCACTGGGACAGGACAAAGACAGCTGGAACGGGCCAAAGAAGGCCTGGAACTGCTAAGGACATAGTTGTGAATGAAAAGACCCTGAGCTGACAGGAGCAGCCACTGGTAGTATGAAGGGGCTCATTTGCACTGGGCGCTCTCCTGAGTACCTCATAGGCGCTGGAAGCGTGCGGCTCTTGAAAGGACAACATGAGGAATGGCCCTGTCAACTCCACCATGCACCTGGTAGAGCAGCCTAAGGACAGCGACTGCAGCACCTGCTTTGACAGCCATGATCTGCCTGTCTGAGGCTCACAGTGAACGTACAAGGAGAGATCCAGAGTTCTGGATCACCCTTGCTCATCTTAGGATGACTATGAGATCCATTCTCCACAGATTAGGTTCTCCTAGGCAATTAGGTCAGCAAGGGTGACAGGGGAAGCTTTTTGCAGCCTAAAGTGTAGACAAGCCATTCCTGTAGTCTACCTTTGTGCTATCTCAAAACACACAAGTAATCACAGCCTTCTTCCTTGTGAAGTGTATGTGAAATTGGCACTATGACCCAAGGTAAGCTCCCCTCAGCCTTCACTGTTTAAGCAGGAAAGCAGAGTAGGACTACAGTGGGAAGAAGAAATCCTGCCTCTCATCTGCCTCTCCTGTCCTGAGGTTTCCTCTTGTAGAGAAAGCCTGGGGCTGGGGCGAGAGCAATCCTCTTCCCCCCAGAAGGACCAGTGCCCTGGGAGAGAGGGCTCCTGTGACAGGCACGGTAAGTCACTAACGCACAGGTGAAATACAGGCTGTCTTCCCTAGCGAGTAGAGTGGCAGGATAGGTGATCAGTGGGGCAGAACAGCAAGTGCTGAGGATTTGGCATCTGCACTAATTGGCTGTTGGGGGGAAACAGTGGCAGTGACAAGAACTGAATGCCAGTTGGAGATGGAGGCCCATCAGATGTGCTCTTGGAGGCAGATTGGAGAGAGATTTGCTTCAATAGAATTTTCCTGTTTGAAACTAAGTACTTATGACTCCCCATGCAATTAATGGTGATTGCACCATGGCATGCATGTGTGGTCCTCAGGTGAGGCAGGGGCTGGGTGACACCTACCTCAAAGACATTTCCCTGCCCCAAAGGAGATGGTCCAGTCTGGGTGTCTCTGTGCAGCTGAGGCTGCAGTTACAGAAACACTCTCCAGCTGCACTGCCTTAAAACCTTCTCCTTCATCTTGTTGACAGGGGTGAAGTCTTTTCTCTACTTCTACCCTGCTATGTGGCAGGGAGTTAGCAATGACTGCAGAAGGAGAAGGCTTTGGAAGGCCAAGTACTTGACTTATGTAGGTAAGCAGCGCTTCATGCCCCTGACTCTGTGGATCGCCTCTCAAGGAGGAGCTTGTGGCAAGAATGTGACATTTCCTTCATGATACAAGTACTGAAATGGTAACGGTGTCCCAGCATGAGCCTGCCAGAGACCTGTCCCTTGAGGGCCAAGAGTCTTTGGGATAAAATACACGATGCCAGGTAAAGAGCACTTGGGAATCCTGTCCCAGGATTTCTGTTGGCTTTTAAAGCAGAGGTATTCAGTGCTACACTTGAGAGCCACAACATATAGCTGCAAAGTTCAGCAGCCATTTTAACCACACCACGATTACCATGACTGCCTGCTGCAGTTGTCTGATGTGGTTGTTATGTGAAAATTTGTGAAGGGCCTGAGAGTCTATAGGAGAGGGGCATCTAAGCACTTCTTCAGGGAAGAATGGAACCATAATTAAAAGTAGCTATGGGAAACTGGAGAAATTTTCTCAGATTTTCAGAAGGAAATATAATGAAGAGAAACAATGTACTTTGGGGAAGATGCAGACAATGCATGGTTTATGGCTGTTGAACTAAGAAGGAAAGGAAGTGGGGATTGTAACATAACAGAAGTTAACACTGGGGAAAAAGAAGACAGTTTGATAGTTTTGAATGCTTCTAGGCAAGTTTTTGGTCTGTACTGGTGTTTGGATGTATTGTTAAAGATCTAGGAAGTGTCTATAGTGGGAAACAATTCACATTTCAATGGGTTTGTTTGGTAAATATGTGACTAGGAAAAACACTACCTTTTCTGTGGAAAATATAGTTTGAACAAAATAAGGTAATGAAAATATTTAGTGTAAATTAGAAATACCTTAAATATTTTATTTGCCTTACTTGAGAAGTATCATATTCTTTAGGATTTTAAAGTCATATCACTGTTATAAGGTGTTTTATTGTGCAGGGAATTTTTTTGATCCTTGCAACTTGCTGCACTTTTCAATCTGAACTAATGACCTCAGTCAAGTTGTGCTCTTCCTAAAGCCATCTTTAGATAGATTATTCTAGCACTACATATTGTTCTGTGCGTGAATTACAGTGCAGTTTATTGAGGATGTGATATATTATGTTATTAGAAGGCATGTAGAACACCAGTGAAAAATGGAAGTTTTCTTTTTCTTAACTTGTGATTATCTTCTATATGTGGACCTCTCAGAGAAAAGTTTAAAATAAATGCAGATAATTGGCTCAAATAGAACTTGTGGCCCATATGGTCAGTAGGGGACTGACAGGGAATATCTGGAGCAGAAAAGCAGTGGTCTAGTAATAGTAGCACAAATAGTTGAAGATATTTCCCATCTGACACTGTTTGTCAATAAAGTAAAATTCAGTAGTTCACACTGTGAGCTTCCCATCACACTCCAAGCAAAGAGGAGGGTATCACCTAGCACCTCAGCTTTGCTACTCAGGGTTCATGACAGTGCTCTTGCACCTTCCACAGAATAGGTATCCCCCCAGCCCCACCATGCCAGCAGCGTAGCCCCAACACCAGCACAGTACTGCTGGGAGAAATACAGTTCAACACAAATGAAGGCTTTGGAAACCCAAGGAGGTAAAGTTCAAGTTTAGCTAATATGTGAATCAGACAGCAGTGTAGGATCATGGGATGACTCTGCTTTGAGAGCTTACAAGGCACCCTGGTTCAGGAATATATGGCCAACTGAAGGGATTTGTCAAGGAGCTGAAGAGACTGACCTGTGCTGCCAAAAATGGCAGTGACCAGAAGAAGTGGTTGTTGCACATTTAGCTATTAGTTTAATATCAGAAAAGGGTGATTTTGTGTGAATACCAGTGTGTATCCTGACCTCCAGTGCAAGGTGTTATCCTCTTATTCTCCAAACTGAAAGCAAGTTTTGAGAATCCTCTCCTTTCAGTGTAAATAATGAATATGGGAATTACCAACAGAAGACATCTCACAGTGTATCAATACTGCAAACTCTTCCTTCACTTGAGAATGCCTTGTGTAATCTAAATAGTTTTAATGTTCAGAAGACTTTCTTGTTTTATCACAAAAGTAGGCAAAATGTTTGGATGTAATTGTAACATCTGCTTAGAGCAACAAAAAGCTAGTTGTGAAAATCTAAACAAATGTATCTCCATAGTGTAGCCTCTCCCTGCTTCTCTCACAGGTGTACTGTCAACAGAGAAATAAGCTAATTCATCAAGTTTCTGGTCATTTTAGTTTGTATTGCTGTCCTTGTTTCTTCTCCTTTCATGTAATTCTCCAACTCCTTTTGCCTTTTCCTTCCCTTTCCATGCCCCACTCACCTGTTCTGTAACTGAAGCTGTTCAGCTGCTTTGTCATGTGATGGAAAGGGCATCCTAAATGTCACCTCCTCGGCCAGGACCTACTGCTCACATATATCTTCTCTGACATTTGCTGTGGAGATAGGAGGAATTTCAGTAACCATAGAAATCTCATGCACACTCAAGAGCTTCTCCTCTTAAGATCTCCATGAACTGTGTGTTAACTGTCTTCAGCTGATTTTGCCCTCCCTCTTCATTCTTTGCATTACTGTTGCTTTTATTCAGCGGGCAGCTACTTAAGTTTCATCAGAACAAAGTAAAGATATTCCTGGGTTTTAAAAATTATTGTTGAAACTTCTGAAGTAGGAGTCACTTCTTTTTTCCCTGCTGTGAGGTCAAATAACTGTATAAAGCATTGCAGAAAGCAGTCTCCAAACAAAGTAGCAGGATCAGAAGACAGCAAAGGCTATATCAGTCCATTCACAATTAACCTGAGGTACAAGGATGTTCTGAACAGCAGCAGACATAAAGGTTAACTCACTTGCACTTTGTCTTTGCAGTAGCCAAATCAATAACTGTCCCAATGTTCCTTACCTATTACCAGGTTAGTCTTCTATTTCTTAGGCTTATCACTGGCTTTTCCCTAGAAATAATTTCAAACTTATTTCCTACTCCATCTTTTTTAACACTGCTCATCTGGAATAATAGCTCAAATCCCTGAAAGACATGTCTTAACATAAACAATTTCCCAGACTAGGTATGATACGACAGGAATGGAGAACGGACTCACTGTAATTCCCTTTAATTCAAGGTCTAGTACAAGATGTCCCTGCTCATTGCAGGGGGATTGGACCGGATGGCCTTTGAAGGTCCCTTCAAACCCAACCTATTCTATGTTTCTATGATTCCAGTTCAGCGCAACAACTACCTTTCAGTAGAATAAAAAAGAACTTTTCATGTGAAAATTGTGCTTACCATCTCCAGGATCCAGAGCCTAGCCACATCTTAGCAGAAGTGTCAGAATAAAAAGCTTTGCACCACAGAATTAGTGTTCTGACATTTCTCCTTGTCTCAAGCCAGCATTCCTGAGAGGTCTTATTTTACCCAGAGATCTTCAGGATGAGCCAACACATTCCTTATCAGTCTGTTCATAAAGGATCCACAGGCACAAAGGTTCCTCTTGGCATGTTTTATAAGTATTAACAGCATAGCTGAGATCAGTGTTTGCAAGCTGCAAATACCATCAGGAATCTTCTTCAAGATTAGTTTAAAAACTAACACTAAACAATAAAAATTTTTGAATGTCTTTCATTTTCAACAAGAAACATGGGTGTCTGCATTTTGTGAGCAATTCAGCGTTATGAGACAACCTATTTTGTTTCATATTGATCATTTGACTCCTTTAGCTAAAAGCTTGTCATGTCCTACCACTCTCATTCCCAAGATTAAGTATTCTTGTAAACTTGTGGGTGTTAAGTCCATTTCCCAAATCCATGTGAAACATGCATGTGTTCCAGCTGTAGCATTTGAATTAGTTGTTTGTTTTGGCTTGTTGGCTTTTTTTTTTTTTTTTTCTGGGTTCAGTCTACCGAAACTGAGCTATTTCAATAACCAGTATGAAGACAGTTATTTAAAACATTCAAATCTTGAGAGTTTTGCTTTACAGGATTTAGATCTGAAAATGCTCGGAATGCAAAGGGCTTGTATAGAAAGTTTGAGAAGGTGTATTTTGTGCTATGAAGTATGGATTTCTCAAGGAGACATCTCATTCATCTCATCTTGATCTATTCACACATCACCTGGAATTCACTTCGCTTTCTGAAGAGATGGCCAGTAGCTTGACAAGAGCCAGTGTCTGTCTGAACCCTGGTTTACCTACTTTGCATAAGATAATGAAGCATTGGTTGATATGTGGAGAATTCCTGGACTATCCACCCTTAGAGAAAGTTTGATTCAAAGTGTTATGGATGGGTAAAATTTAATTCCAGGATCACTGGTCAAAATGGAAGCAGATCATCCCTCTGTGTAGAACAAAACAGTACTGTATGCTTTTGACTTGATATTTATTCAAAATATTCCATGGTTAATGTCCTAATCTGGATCCTAGGCCTCTATTTTCCTCCAATAGAAATCAAATTACCTTGGCAACTGGTAAGTTTTTGCCTAACAGGGCCACAGTGCAGGATGGCCATTTTGAAGTCTGAAAAGAACCATAAGATATGATGAAGAACGAACAGATGATGTTTCAGTTAGATGTCTATAAAAGTTCTCACAGAGAGTTAATAGCCTGAAGATTTTACTTATGAAGTCTGATTTAATGCCCATGGGTTTTTTTGATTTCTGGAGACTACAACTGTATGTAACTGAAATGCATTGCCAAAACCTTGGAAATGAAGAAATATCAGAATTCCCATTAAAAAAAAACGGGGGCGCAGAGAGCACAGGATGGAGAACGGACTCTGTGTATACATCAAATGAAACTACCTCAAGGCAAGGTATTCAAAACCACAAACACACATAGGTTCTTCCCCTTTTCTCTGCTGCGAGGTCAGGAAAGATCTGCAGAAATTCGTCCCTGAGCAGAGAAGCAGCATGAGGAGATGGCTAAAGGCCATCCTGGGCTCTTCATAGCTATCCTGAGATGGGATGCATCTCAACCGAAAACCCACAAACACCTAATTGGAGTAGGCATAGTATGCTAGGTATAGAGAAAGCACTTGTCATGTTTAATTCCACGAGTCAATGCCCATCAGCAGAAAAGACTGGCTTTTTAATGAAGGAAGTGTGTGAGTACCATATGTAGGCTCCAGCACTCTGCCGTGTCTTAGCAGAGGGTCAGGGAAGAGGAGTTTCCCTCCAAAGGGTCAGAGTGGTGGCATTTCTGTTCAGCCAGGGCTATCATTCCCGGGAGGAGTTCTTTTACACAGAGGACTGCTGTCTGAAGAAACACTGCTGGAGTGGAGGCTGGGTGTTCCTTGTCAGACTGCTCGTCGGGTCTGGTGACATTTCTCTCAGCATGCTTAACAAATAACTGCAACATAAGTGACAACACAATTTGAAAGCTGCACTTCTTACAGTGTATGTTTTCTAAAATGCTGTGTCTCTGGTGATGTACGAAATGGTTTTGCTTTACCCCTAAAAGCCTTGGGTTCAGCACTGAACTCAGATGGGAGCTCACCAGCTCAGCTACATTTCTGTACTGGAATTCACTGCTGCCAAGGTTATAATTTACACCACACATACTGAGCCCCAGGAAGATGCCTTCTTGAACTTTGCTGTTTGATTCCTACATGGTTCAGCTGCATTTGCTCTAGAACAATGAGCTGGAAAACGAGGCTAGAGGCCTGAAATCATGCTTCTTTTCCTGATATTGCAACTGCTAGGAGGTCCTGGTCACCTTGGTCCAGGGTGGAAGGAGTGGAGGACAAAAGCAGGAGGCCTGAAGGTGTTTTTCTGATAATGACATGGAGACACTGGGCACTGAAATGTTCTTCTAACTTGACAGGCTACAAGGCTGCTCCAAGAATTAATTATCATTAATTTCCAACAGGACATGCTACAGCTTATGGTTATGAATGGTGGCCATACTGAACTGGTACCATGACACAAAATGGGAATTCTCCAGTGTTCTTTTTACTTTGTTTCTTTTTAATTTGTATTACAGTTGAATGTTTAAAGCTGAGCCTGGAACAGTGTGATACTCAACCCTGTCACAACCAGCCCTGGGCCCAATCTACTGAGCTTGTGCCATTTTTTCAGTACGAGACAACTGACAGAAGGATAAAAAGACACACCTGGTGCCACTTGCAGAAGTCACACAATGGTAGTGATATCACTGTTTGATGGAGAGGTCTGGTGTTTTTTAGCTAAACTTACTAGCAGAAGTATTCTCAGTGTAAAGGCTGAACCTGTGTATGTAGCAGTTAGGAGAATTTTTCCTTCTTTCAACAGTCCTCCTGACTCTTGATTAATAGCAGTCACCTTTCAAGTTTTGCTCCATCATACCAAAGACAGCCCTTGAAGTGGTGTCCCTTAAGGGTTTGTACTGGAATCAATATAATTTAGTATCTTCATTAATAACACACTAAACTCAAGTTAGTGGAGGAAAGGGATGGAGTTCTAAGCACCTGAGAAGAGCCAGGGGCTGCTGACGCTTTAGGAAAGAACAGGGAAATGGATGTGAATTTATGTGAGGGAATTAGGGCCAACTCCTCTACAAAGTTGACATGGCTAATAGCCCAGCTAAAGTGCCTCTATTCCAGTGCATGCATCATAGGAATAAACAGGAGGACCTGATATCTGCTGCCCAGATGGAAAACTATGACCTGATTGCTATCATAGGCCCTGATCCTGACAGGAAGCTTTTAATCACCCAAACATATGCTGGAAAAGGAGCACAGGAAGCTGCACAGAGTTCAGGAAAGTACCAGAGTACAGTGAGGACAGATTCCTAGCACAGATGATGGAGAGCCCCATTTTGAAAGTCCTTTTTAAGGCTCCTTCCAACCTGAATAATGCTATGACTCTAACTTCTGCATCCCCATGGGAGTCAGTGATTGCTCAGAGACTTCAGGTGTACCCCTGTGCTCACTGTTTCCCATTGCTTGTTTCTGGGCTCCACCTGGGTAGGGCACAGGGTGCTTCCATCAGCTTCCTGCAAAGGGAGTTTATGGATGAGATCTTGAGTTTGAATTCCAGAAAAGTGGGTGCTGCAGTGTCAGAGCCCTCTTTGGAGCAAGCTCTTCATGCACAGGCCAGTGCTTGATGCTGAATACTACCTTGGATCACAGGCATCATTTTTCCAGCCTTGGTGCTCTTCCCCAAGCCTTATCCACTGAGCTCTTTTAGTAACCAAAATGCCAATGACCAGAAGAAGGGTGCGTTTTGAACTGACAGTGTTTAAAGCAGCTCAAGTGCCAGTGCCTTTTTCCTACAGCTAGATCAGTCACCCTCCAAAGAATACTGGCAAATTCCCTCTTTTTCAGTGTATCAGCATTGTCACAGGACTGCCTCTAATACCTTGATATAGGCAGCACTGTGTTGATAGCTTTTGTTGCTGTAACTGTGTGATTGTGTCTATAAGGCATTGTGATGGGATGGGAGTGCTGGACTGAGAGTGTCGGAGTGCAGAAGATCTTGGAGTGTATGCTGGGTGTGTGATTGTATTTAGAGTTGTGTCTAGGTAGATGGGTATTATGTGGGGGAGTTGTAGGTAATGAAGGGCTAGAGGACCTCCTGCTTCCTGAGCTGGTTGAAGACATTGCTTAATATATATTAACAATGGGTACATAGGTGAGGCTTAAGCTGTTTAACACATTACTTTGCACTTTTTACTCTATCATGTTCATAAAAAACTGTACTAAACGTGGAAGCACAGTATAAACTTTGTTACTTTAGTTCTAGTCACCAAATATTACACATTTCTTCTTACTCAGTTGTGTATCTAATGCATTATTGCATTTAATCTATCTTTAAGAGAAATGTTTAGAAAAAGAATGTGATTGTTTTTTTGTCATGACCTGCATTTCTCTTCCAAAGGATGCTTTATGCAGGAATTTGGACTGTAATATATTTTGTTTGTCTCATTTCAAATATTAGACGAACATAAGTGTTAAATTTATTTAACAAATACATTTTAGCTTTTCTTTTTTCTCCACACAGTTTGTCTACTGTCCTTAATTCATTTCCTCATTAGTCTCACTATGTAGAAAACATTAATGTTATCTGTGCAGTGCAACTGAGAGAGCTGCAGCACAGACATGCAATAAAAACCTGCCTGAAGTCCAGAAGGAAATCACTGGAAATGCAGCAATAGAATCCGTAAGTCATACATCCAAGTTCTCTAAGTGCCTTGACTAATTCAGATTCTCTCCTTAAGTCTCTTGTTAAATTATTTATAGTCAATACATTCACATCATAGGTAAGATACAAAATATTTCTAAATATATCTGGTCAAATCAAATGACAATTATGCCCTTGGTTAAGTTTGCCAGACAATGCTTTGCCAATGTATGTTTGCCAAAAAATATTTTGACCGAAGAAAGAGGAGGAATCCAAAGCATCTGCCAGACAGACTCTATAAAAGAGTCTTTGCAACTCTCTGCACTGTCTTCAAGAAAAGTGTCACGGTAAGTCTGCTGGGTCTAGAGATTTTTTGAAATTAGGTATCCACCTTTGTTGCATATTGTGCAGTGTATTTTTTCTTCGGAAACAGGTTTCCAAAGAAGTTTTTCCGTTTTCTTTTAAGGCATCTCTATATGTTCTGTCCTTTTTTTTTATTTTTTTATTTTGCATAAGAATTCATGTAACTCATACTCTCAAATATGACACTATACACTGTGTAAAACCAAAGTACAATGTGTACAGTGTCACAAGGTAAAAATAACAACAACTCTTGAAAAGTTAGCCTGTATTCAAGCACAGAAGCAAGATTTTTTTCTCCTGGGGTTAAATCATTAAACAGGAGGAAGGTTAGTTTTGCTAGTTCTAGCAGTTCTAGTACATACTTAATTTTAAGACATTGGAAAAGGTCTCTTCACAAGCAAGGTACATTAATGATCTATTGATGTTA